CCATTAGGTTTAATACCATAACACAACCCTTTCCAATTAAGGAACAGATAAATGGTCAGTGGCTCTATTTTGCTGACGAGGAGACCCTCTGATAGGATTCAAAACCTATTGATCACATTTGCCCTGTTAGTGTGTTCTATTTTAGTCTCCCCATCATATATAATGAATGGATTCAGATGGTAAACGACAAAGTCCAGCCCACTTATGCTTCTCTACCCTGAACAGATGGAGCCTAAAGACATGCATGTCTATGAATTATAGGTGGAAAGTGTTTGTGTCTCTGTGTTTGCGCTTGTCATGAAAAATTATGTTTACTTTAGGTTATTTGTTGCTGATCACAAAAATTTCTAGTCCTGTCTTTGACTTCTGTTTTGTTTTCATGCTCAGAAATATTACTCTCCATGTCAGCATTTAATAAGTGATATCTCTGCTGCAAAATTTACATAAATGCAATGGATACAGTTTTATTGAGGTAGAAAATAAGATGCACATTATTCATAACTCTGGCTGTTTTCTGTGTGCCTACAAAGAGTGTAAAGCAGAAATAAACACTTTCCATATATAAATTATGTCTCTTATGGTATTGGTGAAAGGCTTTTTGTTCTAACATGTAAGTACTCTGGACAAGCAATTCCAGCTCACTGTCTTAAAAAAAAGTGAAAAATGTGAAGGAAATCAATTTATCCTAACATGCCATGGTGCATTTAGACTTTTTTGCATTATTTGTTGAGAAAAAAGTTCTTTATGGTTCCCCTTTTTTTTATTTAGCATCTCTCTGGTGGATCTGCCACAAAGTACAGGTGCAGCGGCATTTTGTCTGGCAGAATAATGCTTTAAGCAAATGACTTTGAAACTCAGGAGGAGAATCTACTGTACAGCTTGCAAAGGTGCACAGCAGCATCTCTGATGTCTCAATCAGGTTTTATATCAAAGTAGCACAGGAACGTGTTGCATAATTGGAGCTGTCATTGTGCCCGACTCAAAGACAAACATTTTAAGACTTTTTACATGGTGTAGGAAGAGTTTAGAATGTATTTGGCATGTCATACAGGGTATTTTACATTATAACATGCACAGGTCTGTCATCAAAAGCAATTATTATGAAAGTTCTGAGATCATTTACTCACTCTAATGTAATTCCAAAACAATTCCAAAACACCTTTCTTCTGTTGAACACAGCAGGTCAAATACTGCAGAAAGTACTGGCCTCTCAAAATAAGTGAAAGCAGGGTTTCTGTAGGTTTTATGAAGGTCAGTTTAAAAATTAAGACTTTTTAAGATGAAATAAAGAACATTTAAGGACCAAATATCAATATGTTCTCTAACTGTAAATATCTAGGCAGAAAATGAGGTGTATTAGCAACTTACAACAGATCTCTATTTCTTTATAAATTCATTTTATAAAAAAGCTTAACTACAATGTAGAAATACCTTTTACTGCATCCTTTTCATACCTTTCATTGACAGATATTTGTTCTTGTTTCAAGCATAAAACTCACTTAATTTTGATCATGTTTTCAGAAACCAGACCTCAACTATATCTCCATGTTATACTTCAAGTGAACGTATCTTGATTTAAGGCTGATTTGATGTTTGTATTGAAAAACAAGACAAAAATACTGTGGAAGATATACATTTTTTTGCAGTTCATGCAACATTTTATGCCATGGCTTCATGAATCTAAGACTTTCTGACCTGATTTGATTTCATACCTTTTGAAGGCCATAGTCTGTTGAAGCAAGATATAAGACTTTTTGAGACATTTTTAAGACCAGCAGAAACCCTGTGAAAGTTGAATAAGGCATAAGGTGATAAGAACGTCCTGCTCAAAGCTGCCAGATCCAACAAAAATTAGTTCTAGATGCAGAACTATAAACCAATGTTTACATATAGTAGTAAATGTATCTACTGTGTGTCCCAAATCGTCCCACAAAATCACACCTGCTGTCCTGTAAAAGAGCAATAACTAGGTGGGCACTCTATTCAGGCACCTTAAAAGTATGTACAGTATGTCATATTATATATTTCAAATATGCCAAAGCTATTGTATGGCTTGAAATATAAAGTAGCACACAAGTTTAACACTGCCATAAAATACAACTTGATGGCACAAATGACCGATACTTTATGCTTCATATAAATTGTTGCCTCAATCTTATGAGCATAATAAACAGGATTTGGATTTCATTGTCAAACTCGCAGGGTCATTTTGAAAGGCCAGTTAAAAGTAATGCCGAAGTTTCTTATAAAATTGATTTTTTTAACATGGCTCCCTCCTGGTGAGGCTTGAATATTCAACAGTGTTTACAACTAGTGGGAAAAAAAACATATCTAATAGATGCTGCCTGCTGGATGTGTCTCAGAGCCCTGTTCTTGCTGGACACCTTGTTGTTTTTCACATTGTCTGATTTTTGCATCTATAGGGACGAACATCTTGAAGAGTATTTCCTCTAGAGGGACACACAAATGAGAGGAGACGGTAGATGACAGTGCAGACAGGAATTCAAGGGAAAGTGTTTGCACAGAGAGAGCCTTTGCTGCACACTCGACTGAGTCGCCAAACAAGAACAAAGGAGAAGGAAGCCACATGTGAAAGATGACAAGAACTCTCTCCCTCCCTCTCTCCCTTACTCCCCAAAGGTAAATATTTGTTAACCATGGCAGATAGGTGGAAGCTGAAGCAGAGTTTTATATAGATCATGTCTAGTCCCATTAATTAGAGTGGAATTTCAGCTACTCTGTAGCTTTTTTTTAGACCCTCAGTCGGTTCCTCTCAGCTGTAATAATGATTTGTTTAGTTTGTGCATTTGTGCACTGCACTGTAGTAAATCAGCTCAAAAGGGAAATATTTATGACTAATTATAACTGGTTATGATTAATAATAAATATTTAGATTAGATCTTAGAATGAACTGTAGCAGAATCAATATTACCATTACTTGATCTGTCCGTCCACCGAGCAGACAAAATAATCATTTATCAATTCAAAGAAAGATTATTTTCCTGGCCAAGGAAGAATAACTTTCCTTATTTATGCAGTGCTAGCAGTAATTTAGCATATGTAGCAAGGGTTCGAACATTCATTGACTTCGAATTGTGAGCAGCAAACAGAGGCAATCGATTGTGAATATAAGGGATTTAATAAATGAAACTATATCTAACATATAACTAACTAAGCAAAACACATATATACAGAATGAAGCAAAGTAAGGAAAAGAGAGAGGAAAGTAAAAGAATGGCAGTATTTCACATCACTTAACCACAACCTTTGAAAATCATCAAAGAATCAAAAATCACCTTAAAAAGGGGCTGAAACTTAAACACGCATCTAAATAATTGTAAACGGTTACTTGCATTGGCTTCGATTGCTGAGTCCTGATGCGATAGATAACGGAGGTCTTTGATGAGTTCGTTACTTCTGGGTCTTCTGAAGATAGGAAAATCCACAGCGAATCGAAGTTACTTGAAGATAAAAATTGCCGGAAAATCAAAACTCAAGAGGAAAATCTTGAGAGTCTTGGAAAAGTGTTGTCTCAAACGAAGAGAGTTTCTGAGCCAAGATTAGTGCTTAGCTCTGCTTGAGTGACAGCCATTTTCTGCAACTGAGAGAGCATGTGTTTGATATCGGCTTCTGCGTGAGCGAGGGTATTCTCAGTCCATTGGGCACCTGCCCAACTGTAGTGTGCAGCTGCCCGGGGATAATGTGTCCGGTAGACATTTCGGGGGTCGAGTCGGACGTACACCTTCTGGGTGTGAGTCCTACAGTTGGTCATAAGAAGTCCAGGTTGGTCCCTCAGTGCAATGCCTGATGCTGGACCTGGTGATGTGATATCGGGTTGCGGCTGTCCTCTGTTTAGCTGGAGGCAGAGGATGGAGAGCCACAGCAGCATCCTGGTTCAGAGAAAAAGGAGAAAGGCAGTGGATCAGTGAGGGAAGTTCTTGTCTGTTCAAGACAGTCTTTGTTTGAGGACTATAGC